CCCTCGATGTCTACATTCCAGCAATAGGAGTCATCCCACCAGGTTTCAGTGATGCCTATGATATCATATTTGTGGTGTTGTGCTAAAAGTTGGAGTTCATCATGTTTATTTCCCATGCTCTGTGCATTAGTGTAAAGACATGTGAGCCCCTGAGATCTTCCCCTGAGCTGTTTAATTGGGATTATTGTGCTTTCGGTACTTGGTCCTTTTTGTGTTTGTGCAGCCCTCCGTTTAGCCTTCTGGCGGTTCCCTGACATTGTGGGTAAAGTAGTGTTCGCAAGGCTGTTGTCCCCCTCCCCCAGTGGGCCTAGTTTAAAGTGCGCCTAATGAGGTTTGCGAGTCTGTGAGCAAAAAGGTGTTTTCCTACTTGTGTGAGATGCACCCCATCCCTTGCCAGTAGGCCATCCTCCTGGAAAAGCAGGCCATGGTCAAGGAAGCCAAAGCGTTCCTCTTGACACCATTTTCTAAGCCAGTTATTGACCTGTACTATTTTTCTGGCCCTTGTAGGACCGTGTTTTATGACTGGGAGGAGGGATGAAAAGACCACCTGTACATTACATTGCTTTAGCTTTGTTCCTAGAGCTCGAAAATCATTTGTGATCTTTTGAAAAGTATGCCTTGCAGTATCATTGGTTCCTACATAAATCAACATGAGGGGAGGACGGTGATGGGGCTTGAGGAGCCTGGTGAGCCTCTGAGTGATATGGTGTATTTTTGCCCCCGGTAGGCAGCATATTTCTCGAGCCATCCCATCCGGTCTGGAAATGACGGCTTCCGTTCCTCTAAGGAGGGAGTCGCCTACTACCAAGACCTGTTTACTTTCAGGATTGGCAGGGCCCCTTTTGCGCAATGTAGTGTGTAGGTCCCCAGAAAAGTGATCCTGTTGGTGTGAATTGTGTAGGTGTAAAGTGTTGTCCTCCTCCTCGACATCCCCAGTGCATTCATCAAGGACAATCCATTGAGATTCGTCCAAGAGCCTAGCGTTCTCCTGTATGTGTTCCTGTTGCACCTGGTCTATGGTTGGGGATGGTACACCTGTATGATTGTGTAAGTGTGAATGTTGTGAAGTGTTGTCCCAAACAGGGCTATCCCCGACATACTGATCAAGGACGAGCCACTGATCAGTATCTAAGCCATTCTGGTCTTCCTCAGTGTGTTGTGTTTCTTGGTCAAGTGATAGCGGTGTGAGAATTTGGAATCTATTGTGTAACTGCAACTGAGCAGAAGTATTCTGAGGAGGCGTCCGGGTCCTATGTCTCTTTCTAAGGGTGACATTCCTCCAAGTCTGAGGGTTGTCCACATCTGAGGTGATCTCCTCTTGAGCCTCCCCATAATGTTGATGTGATATGGGCTGCGTGTCTAGGACAGCATGCTGTGTGGTGTCTAAGAACGGCTCAAGTTCCTGAATGCCCTTAAGGGTCTTAATACGGTCCTCGAGTTGTCGGATCCTGTGTTCCATGTGAGTGATCTGTTTACACTTGGGGCAAATGTAATTGAGTAATTGTTGCATGAAAAAGCTGAACATGCCACAGCTTGTGCATGAGACAGGAAGAGTTTGTGTTTGTTCCATCTGAAGGTTGCTAATGACCTTCTCTTGGTGTGTGTTTTATGTTGTTGTCTGTATGCAGTCAACATATTCCATAGGAGCAATGGGTGAAAATTTCAATACATTTTAGGCCCTAATAGACATTTCAGAGTAAATACAGTTACTTCAGTTTCAGTAGTAGAAACAAGTGTAAGAGAATAGTCTCACTGGTGTCAAAACAATCCCCCCTCCCCCCACGCACACACACACAAATAGTCTCACTATCACTTTATATATATATGCTGATCAGAAGCCTTACACAGACATCCTCAGCATAGTGTTCATGTTTCATGTAAAGGCTTTTAAACAGAAAAATACAGCAAAAACATACATTCTCTCGCTCCACAAGCTTAACACTCAATTCTGCATATAGAAGCCAGGTGATCACACAGCAAAAGTACACAAGAATTAATTTCCTTCTGTAACAGCAGTTTAGGTATACTACCTTTGTTTCCTCAGCATCTGCTGGTGTTACTTGTTCAGTTAGAGTTTCAATTGGAGATTCAAATTCTGTGGGCCAGAGTTCTTTTGTAGCAGGTGATGGCTTCATTGGGCAGAAAAATAATAAAAAGCTCCATATTAGGGTAAATATGTAGAATTCTTGGTAACACATTTTAGTCCTACTAGGAAAAATATGTTGAGATCTGATTGGCAGTTTGAACAAAAGCTGCAAAGATGCTATTTTTGAAATTTCCATTTGAGTAACAACCTAGATGTCTTTGGTCAATAACCATCTCTCAGCCTATCCTGAGAATAAGGAGGAAGAAGCTCATTTGTGTAAACTTAGGTACCTTGGCAGAAAGGTGCACTAAAATTGTTAAAAAATATGTTTGATACAGTGTGGTATACTATATGCTCATGTAAAAGTCTAGAAATTTTAGTCAAAACATCAACCCAAAAACCTTGGTTGCCTTATCCATAGGTTAATATGAGTGTTGTACCTTAACTCTTTATCAAAAAAGGAACCATCCCATCTCTAAATAAAGGGGCAAAAAATAAAAATTTACCGCCACCCCCCTCCCCGAGGATTTAAAAGAAGCATAAATCTGGTTTGTTTTTTTAAGTCTAGGTAGGAAAATGGCTTACATTTGAGCACTTCACATTTCATAATTTCAGATATTTGAAGTTTTGAAGTTTAATCCAAAACTCTAGGCACTAATTCCTCTCCAATTGCAGCCCTACCTTATTGTTATAACACAACTATCCAGAAGGTTGCTTAGCCCTTCCAGAGCAACCACTCTGAATACAGAAGGTATCATCATTCCCTATACATTGAAGAGGGGAAGTTAATAACTTTCCTGAAACTTACCAGTTCCATTAATTCTTCTTCCCCTGGTAAAACTTCTGCACCTGAAGACTCAATTTCAGCTGGCTCAATTTCTTTCTGAACAGCTGGTAGCTTTATTTTACAATGGAAACAATAACAAATATCACAATGCACAAATATGTGATAGCCAATAATAAGCTTGAGATCCCAATTTGAAGAGCTGCTCATGACTTTTGATATACTCAGCAGCTTGAGAACAAGGTGTTTGAAGTAACACTTGCATCCATATGAATTGGATAAAACCTTAATGCCACCCTGAGAGGTCCTGCTGTCTAGTATGCTTACAGAGATTAGGATAACAGTCATCAAGGGCAGGTTCTTTTCAGTAGCAGCTCCAAAAATGTAACACTCCCTCTTCCAAGAACTGTATCAAGACCCAGCCTATTCAGAATTTTAATACATCTTTAAAATGTATTTATTTCAGCTTTTCCTGAAGTTCTTTATCCTTACAATTTATTCTGATTGCTATTCAGTTTTTAGCTTTACGTAGATATTTATTTTAATATATGCTTTTAAACTGCAGATTAAGCTGCAGTTTTTAAATCATCTTGTGAAGCTGTGCCCTCAAAAGCCAAATAAAAAGGTTGGAAATTGTGTATAATAATATGATGCCTAAGTATGCCTAAGTAAGTATGACAAGCATTGGCAAAATAAAGCATGAAACATTCAGTACACATTTTTAAAATCAAAGCTTTTTATTTAGTTCAGTTTCAGACTGCTGCTCAGTAACTTTAGATTATCGAGTCAGAGTTATTTATTATTTTAATCTGTTATTATTATTATTATTATTATTATTACTATTATTATTATATAATACATAGAGTAAGAAATGTTACTTTATTTTAGTTTTATTATTACTTTTACATTATTTTACCTTATTTTTATTACATTTTATTTTACTCTATTATTATTACATTTATTATTTTATATTATTGTTATTTTTACATTTCCATTATTTTACTCTATTACTTTTAGTTACATTTATTATTTTGCTCTTTATTATTATTATTATTGGAAGGATACGTAAGCACATTTACACTGAAGAAGGTTACAATAATTGTTTAATCAGAGTTGGACAGTCTTATCTTAAATTACAGTTTTATGTAAATATTCAAAAACATTTAACCTACCTATGCCTCAATGTAATTTTATTGGCATCTATTTTTATTTTGGAATTTACCAGTAGCCGTTGCATTTCCCACCCTTGACTTAAGTCAATACGTTTTCCCAGGGTTTTTTGGTGGTAAAATTAGATGCCTCGGCTTATATTCGGGTCAGCTTATACTCTAGTACATACAGGAACTTCGCTGATAAAACAGCCTCACTAGTTACTGGTTCATTTCCAGACACTGAATTGTTTGGTGCTGGTCCTGACCTATAGTTCCAGAGTATTTAAAGGACTTGTGTCTTCCCAGGTTCTAAGATCTACAGGGGATCCACAAATATTACAGGCTTACTTGGTGAGGATGGGAGAGCCTTCTTAGTGCCTGCTCTCACACTAGGCTGGCTACCTCTGATCTTTTTATTGGCATGTAAATATCTTTTTTCTTTTAAGCAGAGTTTTAATGTATAAGCGGGTGTGTGTGTGTTATTTGGGTAGTTTAAAAAAAACTTTTGCTTGTCTTTTAACTGATTCTGTTGTTTCATGTGTGGTTTTATGGTTTATTTTTCAGGTCTTTTTAACAAACTATTTCTGGGAGCTGCTTTGCATTTCACTCTGGGAGAAAGGTGGAATACAATGAAATTAATTAGTTAATGATAAAAGACTGTTCTATCTGTCTATAGATACAAGTATTTTTGTTTACCTGCCTATCTATAAATAAATGATATATTGTTTCATACAACTAGAACAGCTTTAGGTATGTATAAAGTATGTACTTCAGGTAATACAGCTATGCAAGCATATAAAACATTTCAGTAGCGAATGCATTTAAATTTGATACATTTTGTTTTTTAAAAATAGCAGAATAGTAAAAAGGTGGTCAAAATATTTTTTCAAATATGTGAGTGGTAAAGCACTGCTGCCATCATATATATATAGAGAGAGAGAGAGACAGACAGAGAGAGACATACAGTATTTTTACTTAGTCAACTATGGTCAACTTGCTCTACTTTACCTACATTAATTTGTATGTTGTAATCATGGCCAAGAATGCTCTGTAGGAGTTCTTTGATCCTCATGTCTGACTCAGTTGGAGCAGTAGACTTCAGGGATGCAATTATTTCATCGATAGACCGTCGAACAATTCTAGTGGTCGAAGGCACATTTTGAACAGAAATACATATCTGTGAGTTACTCTGTATGGATTGCCTCACATGTGCCTTTGTTCCCCTACGAGAATGAGTTCCTTCCCCAGAATGTGGAGCAGATTTCACACCAGGTGGGATGCTGCTTTTTCTACGATGTGATTTGTCCAAGTCTAAGAGTGAACTCAATACACTTGACTTTGGCATTTCTTTACCAATTTTAGGGTGCTTTTTACTCAAGGGGGAACCCTGAGGAAATGACTTGATGGGTCCTGCAACGTCAAGTTCAGCATCATCTTCTTGCTCTGGCTTCTCACTATAAGTACTGTCTTTCGGTAGACGGATGGGAGAGGGGAGCAGTACTTTTGGACGGACAACCTTTGGATATTTGGGTTTGGGTGTGGGCTCTGGTTTCTTTAATAAACTGAGTTGCTTACTGGTACCGACTAAGGAGGTTATTGCTACTGGCCTTTTTTTACTTTTATGTTCTTTACTATCACTTTTGCATTCTGGAACTGCCTTTCCAGAGCCAGGCCTGACTTCTTTCTCAGGAAACTTCTTCTGATGGGTTGTGACATCTTCCGCTTGCTTTTCCTTCTTGAGTACTTTTGGGGGGGATTTAGAATCATCCTCTTCAAAAAGGGATTCAGGGAGCAGGGATGGACTCCTTGAGGTTAGGCAAGAATACAGCTGTATGTCAGATGATTCCTCTGCTGGTGTCACCTCCAATGTAGGTTTATTCTGAGCACTGTGAACAACTGCTGCTTCTTGCTTAAACTTCAGAAATTCCCGTCGAGATTCTTTACATATATTCTCACGCTCCTTAAATATACTCAGTTCTTCCAAATAACTTAATCCAAGATGCTCACGTTTTCTAGCCATTTGTTTGCCCCTTGGGGGAAAAAAAACATAGAATCTTGTTTATATGCATAAGATCAATTAAGTGATGGAGAGTTATTGATACCAATCACTTTGTAATTTAGCATTTTTGTGATTATCTATAAGCTTGTAGACATCTTTCTTTAAAAAATGAAAAATAAAAGGAACCTTAGCGAAACCCAAAACTTGAACATACTTCAGTGAAAAGTGGAGCAAGCAAAGCCCACCACTTCTACCATTTAATTTTCCCATTCCAAGGATAAATTATGTGACATATATCAAGCAAACTAGAAAATTGACTAATATAGCATTCATAAATGTTCGAAAAACAATATTTTTACACTACATAAATTTATTAGGACTACTACCCATCAGGAGATTTAGTTAATTATAACACGTTTTGATCATTAATTTACATAGTTGTGCATGTAAATAAATGCAATAATTTCAGCATTCAAAGGACGACACTAAAAAGGTATTATTATTATTATTATATATTAGTAGTAGTAGTAGTAGTAGTAGTAGTAAAGGTAAAGGTTTTCCCTGACATTAAGTCTAGTCGTGTCCAACTCTGGGGGCTGGTCACAAATCTATTTCTAAGCCAAAGAGCCAGTGTTATCCGTAGACACCTCCAAGGTCATGTGGCCAACATGACTGCATGGAGCTCAGTTACCTTCCCACAGGAACACTACCTATTGATCTACTCACATTTGCATGTTTTCAAATTGCTAGATTGGCAGAAACTGGGGCTAACAGTAGGAGCTCAGCCTGCTCCTCGGATTTAATCCTCCAACCTTACAGTCAGCAAGTTCAGTAGCTCAGCAGTTTAACCTGCTGCACCACCAGGAGGCATGACAATACATCGAACTAATTGTTGTTGCAGTGTGACTTCAAGTACTTCCTGAATTATGGCAACCCTAAGGCAAACCCATCATCAGGTTTTCTCACAAAGTTTTGCTCAAAAGGGGTTTGCAATTGCTTTCCTCTGAGGCTGAGAGGATGTGACTTGCCCATGGTCACCCTCTATGTTTGAATGGCTGTGCCAGGATGCTAATCCTGGGTTCTAAGATTCTAGTCCAATCACAAGGAGCCCCCAGTAGTGCAATGAGTTAAACCCTTGTGCCAGCAGGACTTTTGACCAAAAGGTCAGTGGTTTGGATCCGGGGAGTGGGGTGAGCTCCTGTCCATCAGCACCAGTTTCTCATGAGGGAACATGAAAGAACCCTCCCACAGAATGGTAAAACATCTGGGTGTTCCCTGGGCAACATCCTTGCAGACGGCCAATTCTCTCACACCAGAAGCGACTTGCAGTTTCCCAAGTCACTTCTGACATGAAAAAAAAAATATCTTGAATCACAACAACACAGAGATTTTCTTAGTGCAGCATTAAACATACTACCTTTGCTGATACAAGTACACATAATGTGCAAGAGAGGAAGACTCAGAATCATAAGAGTTTGAAGAGAGTGCAAAGGCCATCCAGCCCAATGCTGTAATTCCTACACACTATCAGAGCAACTCTTGAAAGCTCTATATATTATCTATAGATAGGTAGACAATTTAATGAGATAGACTGACAGAGTCAGAGGAGGGACAAGTATCTATACTGCCATACAGATGAATTGGATTATATGACTGTGTAGACTCATATAATCCTATTCAATGCAGTTAAATCTGCATTATATGAATATATACTGACCATTATAATGCAGTTCAAACTGTATTATATGACAGTGTAGATGGGGTCATTGAGAAACTTATCCTATTACTATGTAACTAATAGGGAATATACTTTTCATTGATCAAAAGTTTCATCTGTCCTATATAAACCAATTAACTACATTAATGTTATAGTGTAGAGCAGGCCTGGGCAAACTTGGGCCCTCCAGAGGTTTTGGACTCCAACTCCCACAATTCCTAACAGCTTCAGATCCCCATGACCCACTCTACATCCTATTGCAGTTTGGAGGAGGGGTAGACAATGGATGATGGAACTTGAAGTACCTCCACTCACTTCCCGAGACCGCTGAGACTCTCGTCCAACGACTGATCAAGACCAAACTTGGCACACATAACCCCCATGACCTCCTTTACATCCTGGTGAGGTTTGAGGGAGGACGGACAATGGATGATGGGATTTGTAGTACTTTCAAACCCTTCGGTTCCCACAGACCACTGTGGCCCCCAACAGAGACCGATAAAGACCAAACTTGGCACACAGAGCCCCCATGATCCACTCTACATCCTATTGCAGTTTGGAGGAGGGGCGGACCATGGATGATGGAACGTGAAGTACCTCCACTCACTTCCTGAGACCGCTGAGACTCTCATCCAATGACTGATCAAGACCAAACTTGGCACACATAACCCCCATGACACCCTTTACATCCTGGTGAGGTTTGGGGGAGGGCGGACAGTGAATGATGGGATTTGTAGTACTTTCAAACCCTTCGGTTCCCACAGACCACTGTGGCCCCCAACAAAGACCGATAAAGACCAAACTTGGCACACAGAGCCTGCATGACCCACTCTACAGCCTACTGCACTTTGGAGGAGGGGCAGACCATGGATGATGGAACTTGAAGTACCTCCACTCACTTCCCGAGACCACTGCAACCTTCATCCAATGACTGATCATAACCAAACTTGGCACACAGAACCCTCTTTGCCCACTCTACATCCTGGTGCAGTTTGGAGGAGGATGGACCACGGATGATGGGACTTGAGGTACTTAAGCGGCTGAGGGGGGAAAGGAAAGGGCCTGAAGCTGTTAGGAATTGTGAGAGTTGGAGTCCAAAACCCCTGGAAGGCCCAAGTTTGTCCCAGGCCTGGTGTAGATGCTGCTTCTCTCTCCTTCCAAGCAAAAAATCAAAATATCTGCGACTTCCCCTTTTCTTTTCGGTCTCAACTATATCCCTTCGTCCCTCAAGACGTCAATTCACCCCAAAACAAAGGAAGCGACCCCTCCTGTCTCTCAGGCTCCAGGAGACATGCTTTCGTCCTCTTCTCTCCTCTTCTTTCTGCTTCTCAAGTCAACTGCTTCGGGTTGGCGTTGGGAAGGAAGGCGGGAGAGGAGGGGACGCGCGCGCCCGGTCGCCTAGCAACAGCTCTGGGGGCGGAGCCAGAGAAATTGAGGTCCCAGTTTGGCCGGAGGGAAGGACTCCGCAGAGCGCCCTCTGTAGGCCTTCTAGGCCCCAAAACACTACTTGGAGCTTGCTTTCATTGCCATGGCAACGTCGTATGGAATGTTGGGATTTGCTCTTTAGGGCCAGAAAGCCCTTAGGCCTCAGTAAACAACAAACCCCAGATGACTACAAAATGTTTGATGTCTAGCCAAGACCCGCCCTCCCTCAGAGAAGTTGATGAATTACTCCAGAATACCACATTTGGACTTTGGTGGGAAATTCGAATTGTTAGCAGGGAGCCTCGAGGATTGATTGGCCTGCTGGAGAATTGAGGAAGACCTGCAGCAGCCACAAGCTCCAAAAGATACATAGTCTCCAAGCTCCCTTTTATGAGTTACATAGTAATCCTTGATGTTGACAACCTGGAATGTGTCCAGAGGAGAGCGACTCAAAGGATCAAGGGTCTGGAGAACAAGCCCTATGAGGAGCGGCTTAAAGAGCTGGGCATGTTTACCCTGAAAAAGGGAAGACTGAGAGGAGACATGATGATGATGATAAATATGTGAGGGGAAGTCACAGGGAGGAGAGAGCAAGCTTGTTTTCTGCTGTTCTGGAGACTAGGATGCGGAACAATGGCTTCAAAGTACAGGAAAGGAGATTCCACCTGAACATTAGGAAGAACTTCCTGACTGTGAGAGCTGTTCAGCAGTGGAACTCTCTGCCCTGGAGTGTGGTGGTGGCTCCTTCTTTGGAGGCTTTTAAACAGAGGCTGGATGGCCATCTGTTGGGAGTGCTTTGAATGCAATTTTCCTGTTTCTCGGCAGGTGGTTGGACTGGATGGCCCATGAGGTCTCTTCCATTTCCATGATTCTATTATTCTAGAAGGGGCCTCAGTTAACTGAAACTCAAGCAAGCAGAACTCTCAAGCAACCAGAGAAGAAAAAAAGAAATAATGCTTTAAATACAAATTAAAACAACATCAATTGCAGCAGAAATGTTACATGAAGTTACATTTATCTTTATTTGCTTTAAATTGCTGTGTTTCAATATCAATATCAAATTGATGCAATGTTTATGGTATGGTATAGCATGGTGTATAGTGTTAGACCTATTTTAAAAGTAACTCTCAAGCAACTAGAAACTATATTTATCTGGCATCTACCAATCCCCATGAATGCTGGTTAACTGAGGTTAGCTCTACACTGCCATATAATCCAGTTTCTGAATCCAGATTATCTGCTTTGAATTGGATTATATGAGTCTACACTGCCATATAATCCAGTTCAAAGCAGATGATCTGGATTCAGAAACTGAATATATGGCAGTGTAGATGTGGCCTGAGAGTCTACTGCAGCATTTCTCAATCTGGGGTTCAGAATCCCTGGGGGGTCACTAGTGGAATGTTAGAGAGGTCACCAAAGACCATCAGAAAATACAGTATTTTCTGTTGGAAATGGGGGTTCTGTGTTGGAAGTTTGACCCAATTCCGTCATTGGGATTGAGAATGCTCTTTGATCATAGATGAACTATAAATCCCAGCAACTACAACTCCCAAATTTCAAGACCTATTTTCCCCGAACCCCACTAGTTTACACATTTGGGCATATTGAGTATTTGTGTCAAGCTTGACCCAGATCCATCATTGTTTGAGTCCACTGTGCTGTCTAGATGTAGGTGAACTCCAAAACTCAAGGTCAATACATTGTTTTCTGTTGGTCATGGGAGTTCTGTGTGCCAAGTTTGGTTCAATTCCATTGTTGGTGGAATTCAGAAGGCTCTTTGATTGTAGGTTAACTATAAATCCCAACAACTATAACTCCCAAATGAAAAAATAAATAAATCCCTCCCTAACCCCACCAGTATTCAAATTTGGGCATA